TCTATAGCCATATGCTTCAAATTCTTAAAACAAAAATACAGATTGAAACAGCTTAAGTTTCTATTAGATTTCCAAAGATGAAAATGATGAATATTGGAAATGGCATGAAAAAAAACCAGTTACATTCTTATAGGGCTAGTGAATCTATGAATTGTTCCAATCACTTGGGCAACAAGTTTGGAATTATTCAAAAAAAGTTCTACTACTAGGCATACATATACCCCTCAAAGACAGAGAGAAGTGTCCCATGTGTACAAAAATATTTATAGTGGCAAAAATATTTTAATAGCAAAAAAATTCAAACTAAGTGGATGGCTATTATTAGAGACTAGCTGAATAAACTGTCCTATATTAATGTAATGGAATAATATTGTGATATAAGAAACAGCAAATGTGAAGAAGTTATGGATACCTAGAAAGACCTGTATGAACTGATGCAGAGCAAAATAAGAATTGAGAACAATTTATATATTAAACCACAAGAGTGTAAAGGAAAATAACTTTAAAAGACATCAGAACTCTCATCAAGTTAGTGATTAGTTTTGACTCCAGTGGCCTGATGTCTAAATTGAATTGGGTATTTGGTTATGCTTATTTGTTTTCCCCAATACTTACAAGCAAATGGTTTTTATAAAGGAGTGATTCTGTGGTTTAAAAAAAATTCATGTCTACACCAGGAATAAGAATGATAGCCCAGGCATAAAATGATGATATTCCCAACCTCTCTCTCTCCAGACTTCAAGCTCTTCTTCTCCTTATCTGTTGGTTCCTTCTGTGCTGTCTACAAACATACCTGTGTGTCCCCATTCTTAAAAAAAAAACTTCACTAGATCCTACTGTCCCCTCAAACTATTATTCTATAGATTTTCTCCTTTTCTTAGTGAAACTTTTAGAAAAATCTGTATGCTTATAATTTCCCCAACTTTTCCTCTCCTCTTACTCCCCAACCCTATGCAGTCTAGCTTTCTGATTCTCCTCACTCAAATGCAATGGCTCTCTTTGGTTGCAAATGATCTCTTATTTGCCAAATGTAAAGGTCTTTTCATAGTTTTCATTCTTCTTGCTATCTCTAGGGGAAGGGGAAGGGAAAAAGCATTTATATGCTGCCTATTATGTTCAAGATACTTTACTAAGCACTTATATATATATGTGTATGTATATATGTGTGTGTATGTGTATATGCACATGTGTATATCATTTGCTTCTCACAACAACCCTGCTATGTAGGTGCCATTATTATTCACATTTTACAACTGAAGAGACTGAGACAAACGTAGGTTAAATGACTTGCTCAGGGTCACATAGCTAGTAAGTGTCAGAGGCTGGAGTTGATTTTGTGTCTTCTGACTCCAGGCCCAGCACTGTGCCTTCTGGATGCCTCTAATCCATTTGACTCTGTTGACCACTGGATGTTCTCTCCTCCGTGGGTTCTTATGACACTGCTTTCTCTGGCCCTCCTACCTATTTGACCTTCTTTCCCTCTCCTTTCCTACTTCATCATCTATATAATTTCTCTAGGCTTTCTTCTCCAGCTTCTTCTCTCTGTATACTGTCTCAGTGACTTCATCAGCTCCCATGGGTTTAAGTATCATCTCTGTGCAGATTACTCAAAAAGATATACATACATACATACATATATATATATATGTGTATATATATATATATGTATATGTATATACATATATACATATACATATATATATATATATATATCTGTATACATGTGGACACCTTCAGTCTCTCTGCTAAGCATCAGTTCTGCATCACCAACTACCTTTTAGACATTTCAAACTCAATGTCCCAAAGATATTTCAAATCAATGTGCCTAAAACAGAACTCATTATCTTTCCCCACAAAGGCACCACTCTTCTTAACTTTCCTATTTCTGTCAAAGACACAGCTATTCTTCCAGTTTCCCAAGTTCATAATCTTGTTACTATCCTTGACACCTCACTCTTCCTCATCCCACATTTCTGGTCAATCGCCAAATCTTGCCATTTCTATACCCACAACATTTCTTATGTAGTTCTTCTGTCTGCTCACAAAGCCATCACCATAGTTCAAATCTTCTTCATTTCCCACCAGATTACCACCTCCTGGTTGTTCTCCCTGCCTTGTCTTTCCCCAATCTAATCCATTTTCCACCCGGTTACCAAAGCAGTTTCCTTCAGTGCAGATCTAAGTATGTCACCCCCTAATCAGTCAATTCCATTGGCTCTCTATGGCCTCTAGAACAAAATATAATCTGTTTTTTACTGTTAAGAGCCTTTATAACCTGGCTGTAAACCTATCTTTACAGCCTCATTATACATTATTCTCCTCCTCCCTACATTATGTGGCCCAGCCAACCTCTGTTCCCCACACATAGCAATCTTTTGCTGTCTCTCAAATGGAACACGCTCCCTCATTATCTATGCTTCGTGGAATCTTTCTTTCTCAAGACTTGTCTCAAGCCTCAGATCTTTTCCTTCTGTATGATGCCTGACTGTGGCACCTGTAACCTTCTTCCCCATCCCCCCTCCCAAGTTCTGGAACCATGAATCAAGATCTAATTGACTCAGCCTTAGCTGCTGGGCAGGTTATGTCCATCTGCTCCCTTTTGGCCCCACTCAACATCCCAGAAAGTTCCCACATCATTGTATTGTTACATTTTATTGTAACATTTTTACATTACATTTTATTGTTCTGGAATCAATGAGAGAACCTGAGAAAGAAACATTAATGTTTGATGGCAGCCTTATTGGTTAGCAAAGGGAAGGGTGAGGAGCAGGCAAATGGCTTCTGGTATGTTAAAATGTTGATACCCTCAGGCAGGGGTGGGGAAACTGAGGCCTGGAGGCCACAGGTTCGTCACCCCTGCCCTAAGGGAAAGGAAACCTGACAGTAGGACAACCACCTGGTAGCAATATAGGACTATTCAAAGGCGGCGAGGGGCATGAATGTAATAATGAATTTAACCTTTGTTGTGCTGAAATAATAATAATAATGATAACAGTAAAAACAGGTAATCTTATATAGTCCCAATGAATGCCAGGCACTGTGCCAAAAGCTTTACAATTATCATCTCATTGATCCTCATAGCAACCATGGAAGGTGTGGCAGGTGAAAGATGAAGTGACAGAAGAAACAGAGGTTTGAGCTTCTGAGCCTATTTATTAAGTAATGCATACTAATTGCATACCAGATCTCTTCCACGCCTTCCTCAGCTTTGGCACTGGACCCTAACCAAATACAGGGGAAGACAGCTTTTTATACATTAAAAACAACTAATCAAATAAGATCAATTGATTAAAAGAAAACAATTAATTAGGGTACAAAACTCGGTAACTTGATTTCTAATTGGAGGAAAGATTGGGGGTTTTCCAAGTTGGAACAGGGAAAACAAGCAGGTACAATTCCCTGAAATCATAAAAAGAGGTGTGCCACTCTCCCCAAGCGCCTGTATTCAGTCAAAGGAACATGGAAACAATAACTGATTAACTAGTGCATGGCCAGTTTTCAGATAAGAAATATGGGTTGCTTGGGATATACAATTGTGAGAAAACTGTTCGCTTCACCCTTTGGATCTGAGTGGGTTTCTGGTCAGCACAACCTAGGTCCTTAGTTAAGGATCTCTAAGCAGCAGGCAGAGATGGTCCAGCTCCTCAGCCATGCAGAGTAAGATGCAAACAATGCAGTAAGATTTTCTCACAATTCCCACAATTGAATAAAGTTTTCTCATAAGACAGAAATTGGACTAGACCCATAATTGAATAGAAAGGGAACTGGGCTAGCTCCAGAACTGAGTCACAAGATGAAGTCAGTGTGGCTTACTCAATTCTCACTTCCACTTACTGTTTTAATTCCTTCAGAGGGAGGTGCTACTATTATCTCCATTTTACAGAAAAGGAAACTGAGGCACAGGTGAAGTGAGTTGCCCAGGGATGGATAGTTAGCAAGAGTCTGACATCAAATTTAAGCTCAGGTGTTCCTGACTACAAGCCTAGTGCACTATCCACTGTGCCACCTAGCTGAGATTTGCAGAGTAAATCTCACAGAGGTATTCTTTGTGACAACATACTTTTGGAGAGTAAGGAGAATAGGATCCTCTTATCCATCCTCCACAAAGAAATATATGCCAGAGACTTGAGCAGAACATAAGATTTTCTGATAAAGTGGCAAGTGTCCTGGACTAGAGACACTTGGGTTCAAATCCCCTCCTCTTGTCATGTGCTAACCATGTGAAAGGGCACCTAGGTGGTACAGTGGATAAAATGCCAGGATTGAAGTCAGGAAGGGTCCTCTTCCTGAGTTCAAATCTGGCCTCGGACACTTACCAGCTGTGTGGCCTTGGGCAAGTCACTTAACTCTATTTGCCTCCATTTCCTCATCTGTAAAATGGGCACACATCAGAGAAGGAAATGGCCTAGAAAACTCCAAATGGGGTCATGAGGAGTCAGATACAGCTGAAAAGACTGAACAACAACAATAACAATGTAAAATTGGAGAAATCACTTAACCTCTCAGAGCCCCAAACACTCTAAGGCTGTAAGTTGTAGCACAATTGCTGATTTGCATTGGTAGAGGGAGTTTCTTCACCAGAAATTCTCTACCTCAAGTGAAATAACAAGTATGGACCCTTCCAACATTATTCTGTCTGTACCTTGTTACTGTCAGTGTTTGATGACTGCAGAAAGGGGCATAAGATCAGAGCATTTGAACTAGAAAGTAGAGACCGTCTCATCCAACTTTATCGTTTTCTAGCTGAGGAAACTGAGGCCTAGAAAGTGATTTGTTTAGGGTCACACAGTATATGACACCAGTTGGATTTGAACCCATGTCCTCTGACTCCAGTTCCATTGCTATTTCATCATTATAGATCTATAGAAATGGTGGTTTTGGTTCTTTGAGTCCTAAAAATGCAGTACCCTAGAAACATGGGAAATGTTCATTGGCCTCCATCTGCCATAAGTTGTAATTAACTGTTTTTGTATTGTCTTTTTTTTTTTCAATTTTCACAGTGTGTCGACAACATTCGGTGCAATGGCTTAATGACAATAGTATTTGAAGAAAATTCCAAAGTGACTGTGCCACATATGATTAAGTAAGTGTAGCCTTTTTCTTCACTCATTTTTTAACCAAAGCCAAACTGCTGGACAAGGTGTGGCTGCTAGAACAGCAAAAGCAGAGAATTGTGTCATCGACCTGCCAAACTTGATCTATCTGCTGTCATGCCGTGTTTCAGTTTTTACGAATGATGGTCATTGGCAGAGGCAGGCCCAACATCAACCCTCTCTCAGAGCAGGTTCAATCTTGGGACCAGATAAGGCCATCACAAGTCACTGAACTGTTTAAAAAAAAAAAGGAGAGTTATTTTGCCCTAACACAGCAAGGTTATACAACAAGAAGACAGTGATACTTTGCTTTTCTGGGTATAGTCCTCCTTGTCTTCATATGAAAGCATGTCTACTCAGCAGGGTAGGATACGGTGATTCACATGGTGCTCACAAATTCACCAAGTTAGATTCTGGATGAGTGTGACTTTTTATGAGCAGGTGAACAGGAAGCTACATCAGGGAAACAGGCCCAATCAGCTTCTGTGGATCTGATTCGTCTCCTTTTAGGGAAAACTAATCCCAGTTGGCAGGAGAAGAAGGTGGGCCTAACTCAAGTAGAGAGAGGTGGGGAGGGATGGACCTAATTCTAAACTTTCCCTAAGTTGTGGGGAAACACTGATAGATATTTGTCCTGTCACAACCATTTTAATTTTTTAAAAATTTATTTCTTTATTTTAGTTTTCAACATTCACTTCCATAAGATTTTGAGTTCCAAATTTTCCCCCATCTCTCCTCTCCCCCCACCACAAGACAGCATGCAATTTGATGTAGGCTCTACATATACATTTATATTGAACCTATTTTCACATTAGTCATGTTGTGAAGAATTAGAACCAATGGGAAAAACCACGAGAAAGAAAAAAAAACAGAGCAAATAATATGCTTCAATCTGCATTCAAACTCTGTAGTTCTTTTTCTGGATGTGGACAGCATTTTCCGTCATGAGTACTTTGGAGTTGTCTTGCATCCTTACATTGCTAAGAGATGGGTATAGCAAAGTTAGTCATCACACAATGTGGCTGTTACTGTGTACATCGTTCTCCTGGTTCTGCTCACTTCACTCAGCATCAGACCATACAAGTCTTTCCAGGTTTTTCTGAAGTCAGCCTGTTGAGCACAATAGTATTCTGTTGCATTCATATACCACAACTTGTTCAGCCATTCCCCAATTGATGGGCATCCTCTCAACTTCCAATTCTTTGCCACCATAAAAAGAACTGCTATAAATATTTTTGTACATATGAGTCCCTTTTCCCATTTGTATGATCTCTTTGGGATACAGACCTAGAAGTTCTATTGCTGGGCCAAAGGGTATACACAGTTTGATAGCCCTTTGGGCATAGTTCCAAATTGCTCTCCAGAATGGTTGGATCAGTTCCCACTCCAACAACAATGCATTAATGTTCCAATTTTCCCACTTCTTCTCCAGCACTTATCATTTTCCTGTTTTGTCATGTTAGCCAATCTGATAGGTGTAATGTGGTACCTTGGAGTTGTTTTGACTTACATTTCTCTAATCAATAATGATTTAGAGCTTTTTTTATATGATTATAGATAGCTTTAATTTCTTTATCTGAAAACTGCCTGTTCATATCCTTTGACCATTAATCAATTGGGGAATGACTTGTATTCTTATAAATTTGATTCAGTTCTCTATATATTTTAGAAATGAGGCCTTTATCAGAGACATGGCTGTAAAAATTCTTTCCAATTGTCACAACCAGTTTCAGAAAATTTCTGCAAAGATATCATTGACTATTGATTGTCCCACTTTTGAATTTTCCTTCAATTTTGGTAAAGTGATAGGGTTACCTTAAAAGAGATAATCATGAGAGCCAACACTGACCTGTGTTTACAGACAAGAAGAAGCAAGGGTTTACTTGTTAGTTTTAACAACTCATGCAAATTATGCTAATTATAGTTGATTTGACTCCAGATCAGTATCAGTTTTGAAGAAAGTCAGAATGACTTGTATAACTAAGTCCATTTTCCTTCTAGTATATAGACAGTATTGAAAGATTATTTGTTCAACTCAAAAGCATATGGAAAAAATAAAAAAAATTAAAAAAAATCAGCAAATGCCAAAAAAAAAAAAGAAAGAAAGATTATTTGTTTTATGTTTCTTAGCCTATTATGGTTAGTTAGGGCCATTCTCCTCGCCTCCATACCCCTCCCCCCCAACTCCTGATGTGTTTCCAACATAATACTACAAAGCAAAATATGGAATTTAAAGTGACTGCAAAGAAAACTGGAATATTCTATAGATTCTTTGCCCTCTGATTAAAGTTTTGCCACTACTTGTCATTGGTTTCTTTTCCATCTTAAAAAATTACTTTTGAAGTATTTTGGTAGATATATGGTATTATAGCTCTACAGTTAGAAGAGACCTCAAGGGCTATGACCTAATAAGGTCATCGTATGATCAACTGTGTTCCACTTCTCAGGAAAACCCATGTGGTGGTAATGAGAGATCTTGTCTTCTTTTCTCCCATAGTTTATGGGACGAAAGTGCTTAGCACAGTGCCTTGCAGTAGTGGGCACTTAAATGTTTATTGATTGATTGATTATGGATAATATCTGATAGAATTAACTGATTGTGTCCAGGCAGTAACAACTATTTCAAAGATGCTTATCCTCTTCATTTTTAAAAAATTTCCATTTTCCCTTGAAAGAGAGCTTTTTTTTTTGAGGGCTGAGAAACAATAATTTCTGCATGTAGCTAAAAATGATGAATATAGAATTTCCTCTGGGATTCCTTGCTTTTCTACATTTGTAAGAATTAACCCAGTTAAACACCATCCCAGTGGTGAAAGCCTTAATATTTAATAAGCACCATGTCAGATAAAAACAAGTGTATAATACAAGTATACAGGCACTAGAGAAAAATCTATACTACTTTAATTATAGATGAGCACTTAACTGGTAGCACTGAAATGGTTTGATTTTAATCTTAAGAAAAACTGATTAGCAACCAGCTGATTTCAATATTAACAGCTGTAGATTCCTTCAACACTGTGTTTTCTAGGCTTTTACTAGTGTGGCTTAAAAAATGCAAAAAAAATGGCTAAATTTAAAAGTAAGTATGGAATATAAAATTAAAAGTTAAAAGTCATAGTTGGTTATATTATTACACTCAAACCAGTTTTCAAGAAAAAAAATAAACCTTTTGCCCAAAGTTGAATGAACTTCAGTTTTATGCTTCCATCTGCCTAATTTAGTCCCTCATAAGTTGATTTGTGCTAATCTTGTTTTGGGTTAAAAATATTTTCTCAATGGTTAGAGAACCATGACATGCCATCCTGATTCAGAATTATGTTAGCTTTGACTTATAAGTATTCATATATATGGGGGATTATATATATGGGGGAGGTTAGATGGGCTGGTGCTAGACTTTCAATTTCATTGTTGTAAAGGACCCCAGGTGGGGAAACGCCTTCTACCCATGAAAAATAAATTTTCTTGGCTTTTCTGCTTGTTGAATTCTAGATAGGAATAGGTACTAGAGCTGTGATTTCCTTGGTACAGGAAACTCCTGCATGAGCAAACTAAATTATGTCTACCTTGCAGGTTGGCATCTTCTCTTTGATTTATAATTATAAAGAGTTGCCTGGTGGTAGAATATGAACCCAGGTCTTCCTGACTCAGACCGCTAGGCCTCTCATACACTTATTCCAACCCTCTAAAAGTTGGCAATGGTGCAAGTATGACTTTTGTTCTTGTTCAGTGATAATAACAGATCTTTACTTTGTACTAATATAGCCACAAGCTGTGTCTCCCAGAATAGGGCCTGGCACATAGCAAATGCTCATTGACTTACTGATTGGCTGAATAGCAACTCAGATAAACGCTGGAAAACTCCACTTGTCTGGGTGTTTCCCTCATTTGACATAACAGCTTCAAAACACCTTGATGATCTGTTAAACTGTTTAATTTTCTTTGCAGTTCGACATAATAGACAAGACTCTTGCTCTCACTCTAGCTCGTTCTTTCTGTCTCAGCCTGCATTTATCACATATAGAGCTATATGGATATCTGTATGTAGATACAGGTATATCAGAATAAAATTCTAGAAATTTCTTGCCTTTCCCCTGTAATTTCCACATAGTCTGCGGACATTTTAACCTCCTAGAGCTCATTTTTCACCACATTGAGTGGAATGGTCTTTGTGCACAGAAGGAGAATGTCTTATCCCAGTCAGTGACTCCTTCCTCAACAGACTCATTCCTGTCCTACCTCCTGTACATGAGCTATGGGATATCTTATTCTGCAAGACTTAGATAATACCATGCATATGTAATACTGAAAAGAGGGTGTGTGTGTGTGTGTTTTGGAGTAGAAAGAATTCTAAACTTGGATTCAGAAGACCTGCATTCAAATCCCAGCTCTGACATTTAGGCATCGAGTAATGAATAGATAGGACGCTAGACTTAAAGTCAGGAAGACGTAGGTTTAAAATCCTGACCGAGACACTTATTAGCTTTGTGCAAGTAGGGTAACCTCCCTGTGCTTCAGTTTCTTCACCTATATAAAATGAGAGGATTGGACTCAGTGGCCTCTAAGATCTCTTTCAAGTCTAAAACCAGGATCCTATGAGTTCTCTGAGCCTCAGTCTCCTCATCTGTAAAAAGGAAATAATAACAGTTGCACAAACCCAAGACTTTTGGAAGGAAGGTACTTTGCAAACTTTAACACACTATGTAAATGTGAGTTCATTAATTAATGAATTAATTATACTGTGTTGTTCAGTCATGTCTGACTCTTCATGGCCCATTTGAGGTTTTCTTGGCAAAGATACTGTAGTGGTTTGCAGTTTCTTTCTCCAGCACATTTTACAGATGAGGAAACTGAGGCAAACAAGGTGAAGTGACTTGCCACTGCTAAGAAGTATCTGAGGCCAGATTTGAACTCAGAGCCTCCTGATTCCAGGCCTGGCAGTCTATCCGCTGTGCCACCTAGCTGCCCAAGTTATACTCTACGTATAGGTATTTGTTCTACTCCTATGTTAGGTAGATTTTGTTACTGTTATGATATCGCCTTGACAACATTTTTTCCTTTTTTAAAACTCAGTGTTTATACTAGCTTAAAAAAATCATGCCATTAAGATTTTTTTTTAAAGTTGTTACTGTTGTAAGAGCTTTAGGAAAACGGAGTTTATGGCTTTTGGGGTTCTCTTGGGAAATAACTTTGAGCTGCTGTTCAGTTCAAGAAAATGAAATTAAATAATTTCATAATATTGAATATCTTTGCTTCATTTAAAATGAAAATGTAATCAGGATTTTGAAGGACAGTGTTGTAATTAGTCACATTTTCATTTCATCTTGGATGAAATAATTTTTCCCCTTCTGGTATTTCAAATAATCTACTTGCAGTTAAAAGATATAGATGTCAGAATGATGCTTAGGGTACAAAATCATGATATGGGGACTAGAAGCATTCACATTTAGTAGGTGACAGTGTCTTTTAAAGTGGTATCCTGTAGTGTTGATCTCAAAATTTAAACTTTTTTTGGTATAGACTAAATTTCACGTTAAGTCTAATTTTGGTGTTGTGTCTGTTGACGGGCCTATTTTCTCTAAGTGATGTTGTGGTGGAAACTACTGAAGCTGTTTCCAAGATACAGGGATTATGTCAGGGAAGAAATGTTCTGATGAAAGAGGTAGAGAGGTGGCAGCTAGGTGGTGAAGTGGATAAACTGCTGGCCCTGAAGTCAGGAGGACCTGAGTTCAAATCCAGCCTCAGACCAAACACTAGACACTTACTAGCTGTGTGACCCTGGGCAAGTCATTTAACCCCAATTGCCTTAAAAAAAAATAAAGAGGTAGAGGACAGAAGAGAGTCATTACCTGATATAGCAATAATGACTTTGGAAATGACATAGTACTACCTCAGGTGCCAGTTACAAAGAAACTTAAATATTTTAATTCTGTATTTTCATTAGTAATAATGTGATAACAATTAACAGGGTTTTTTTTTTAAAGTAAATTGCTTAACATTCACTTTGGGAAAGTTAACTCTTCTGGATTATTTTTTTCCACATTTATTAATTTTATTTTTAATTTATGGAATAAAACAAGCATTTCTATAACATAGTATAATAAAAAAGGTGATTGCACACGAAACTGCAAATTTATTATGTAAAACTTGCTATTCCTTTAAATATATAATAAAGTTAGCATGTAAATTTCTTTTTTTCTTCTCTCCCTCCCCATCCCAAAGATAGTGAGATAACTACCATTACACATAAATAGGTGTGTGTGTGTGTATACATATACATATGTATACATGCATATATATATATGCACAGCACACACAGATACACACACATAATTATTCTATGCATATTTCTACTTCTCAGTTCTTTCTCTGGATGCAGATAGCATCTTTCTTCACAGGTCCTTTAATTTGGGTATTTATAATAGTCAAGATGATTTATTCAATCAAAATCATTCTTAAAACAATATAGCTGATACTCTATACAATGTTCTCTGGGTTCTGCTCATTTAGTTCTTTATTATTTCATGTAAGTCTTTCCGTGTTTTTCTAAGATTCTCCTGAATTCTTTAAAAATCATAACCCCATCGGGGCAGCTAGGTGGCGCAGTGGATAGAGCACCGGCCCTAAAGTCAGGAGGACCCGACTTCAAATCCGGCCTTAGATCAAACACTTGACACTTACTAGCTGTGTGACCCTGGGCAAATCACTTAACCCCAATTGCCTAAAAAGAAGAAAAAACTGCTAAAAAAAAATCATAGCCCCATGCAAAACAGTGCCCCAGAGATATAAAAGACATATACCTCAAAAAGTAAGTGACAGATTTTTAGAGTGAAATTGGGTCACTGATAGGTGCTGGTCTTATAGACAAGAAAGTGTGGCTTTTCTTCCTAGACTTGAAAAGTTCTCATTCTCAGCAATTGTCAGTGCCCATAAAGTTACTTTACTGAAGATGTCGTAATAATAATAATAATAAATAACAAAAGAGAGAATTGCAAGCATCCCTTGGAAAGATTGTGCAATTGCTTTGGCCTGAAACTGTTAACTTATAAATTGTGTGCCTGTTTTTGCCTCTTCTTTCTGAGTGTCTGACAATTGGCTGTATATACTCTGGGGCTGAAGTGGAGGATTTGGCCTACTCTTACGAGGACTACTATCAAAGCAGAGCCAGTTATCCACATGAAAAGAAGTATAATAGAAACGGAGAAAAAATGAGAAGAGGCCTCTACTGCAATCTCAAGAATGTCTAACTATTTATTGCACGTGGAATTTTAAAAATTTACTATTGATATTTTCAGTTAACACTTAAGCACAGTTCAGTTTCAACTGAATTGGGTGAATCACTTTATCCGAACTTCACTTACCCTGTCTTTTTAGAGCTCTCCCCATTGAGAGGAAAGAGTCCTGGTTTTGGAGTTGGGAGGAACCTGGGTTCAAATGCTACCTCTGACACTGAACTTATTGTGTGAGTTAGGTCCAGTATGAATTGACCTCAGTTTCCCTATCTGTAAAATGAGGATGACAATGATGATGATGATGATGGTAGTGGTGGTGGTAATATCTGTAGTACTAACCTCACAGGATTTTTGAGAGGCTCAAGCAAGTTAATGTATCTAAGTCATTTTGCAAACCTCAAGGAACCCTATATACAGGGTCTTGGAAAAGTCTCAGTATGGTATTCAGCTTTCCAGAAGTTTTAGTATAGTTTTAAGCTATGAAAGCATTTTTAGTGCTATTAAAAACTTAAGGCTGTGCTGAGACTTTTGGGACACTCTGAAGTAAATATCAATGATTATAAAATGAAAGGATTGAACTAGATAATCTGTGAGGTTACCAGATCACAGATCCTAAATATTAGAACCAATTTAGAAATCACATGGTTTAATCACTGGTACCTGACAGCTTTTATGCAGGCACTGTGACACATCCTATCCATATCCTTCCTTTCTTTACAGATAGTGGTATTTTAGTTGCATTTTCCTCATAAAGTACAGGTTAACTACAAAGAGAAGGGATTCAGAGAGACTGATATATAGTTTCTCCTCTCCACCCCCAAAATTGAAATTCTGACTTTTCTAAGCTAAAATTTAAATTAATTTTCTCTTCCTACATCATGTTTTTGTTGTATACATAAGGTGTCCCCCAAATCTTAATGTTTTATAAAACTTAGAGCTGCACTAAGACTTCTGAGACATGAGGTATGTTGTGTGTGTGTATGTAGTGTGTGTGTGTGTGTGTGTGTGTGTGTGTGTGTGTATAAACCTGGCTCTTGTATTATCTTTCAGTAAAAAAGTTAAGTGGGATCATGGTGAAAAAACAAAAACTAGGATCTTTTTCCAGAGAATTAGATTGTCTGCCCGAGTGTGGTTTTGTTGAAACATTCTTCCTGATCGATTGTGTAGGTCTGATGCCCGTCTTCACAGAGACGATAAAGATATCTGCTTTAGCAAAACATTAAACTCCTGCAAAGTGCCCCAGATTCGCTACGCCAGTGTGGAAAGACTCTTGGAGAGGTTGACAGACTTGCGTTTTCTCAGTATTGACTTTCTCAACACTTTTCTGCATACTTACCGTATCTTCACCACAGCAGCGGTGGTCCTGGAAAAGCTGTCTGACATATACAAGAGACCTTTCACATCTATCCCTGTCAGGTATACTTAGAGTTTTGTGTCATGATTATCCTTGAAGTCACAAGAGGAATTTTGGGAGGGGGAGGGGACTTAATAGATATTGCTCAGAATTCTTATTCCAGAGATCTGAGAGCTCAGGGTTGCCTATTAGTTCCCTTATGTATGGGAGTTAAATACTTTATTTATGTCTGCTTGTCTCCTAAGGGGAGCTAGGTGGCACAGTGGATAGACCGCTAGGCTTGGAATCAGGAAGACATCTGCTATTAAATCCAGTCTTGGACACTAACTAGCTGTATGACCCTGGACAAGTCACATAACCCCTGCCTCAGTTTCCTCATCTGTAAAATGGGGATAATAATAGTACCTACCTCCCAGAGGATAAAATGAAATATTTATAAAATGCTTAGCAAAGTTCCTGGCATATAGTAAGTGCTATATAAATGTAAACTATTATTATTATTATTATTATTATTATTATTATTACTTATTAATATTTCTGGGCAATTGATTAGATGGAATCTGCAGAGTGTCATGAAAGTTTTTTGGAGTGGATAGGATGTACAAAAAATACTTGGATGGGATTTGAAAACTATAAAATATAAATGTGTTATTCTCCTATCATAGCTTTTATATGTAGAGTGAATGCTCTTGAGTGACATCCAGGAAATCCATTTTTAACTTTGCTACAACTTGCTTTTACTTTCAGGTCTTTGGAATTGTTCTTTGCTACCAGTCAGAACAATCGAGGTGAACACTTGGCAGATGGGAAGTCACCACATCTGTGTCGAAAATTCTCTTCTCCACCCCCATTAGCTGTATCCAGAACTTCTTCCCCTGTCAGAGCCAGAAAGCTGTCGTTGACTTCCCCCCTGAACTCAAAAATTGGAGCCCTAGACCTCTCTGCTTCTTCCACCACCAGCAGCCCAACCTCAACTTATAGCCCTGCTACATCCCCACCACCCCACACTGGTAAAGTACCATTGGATCTTAGCAGAGGCCCTTCTTCTCCAGAACAAAGCCCCGGATCTCTAGAAGAGAATTTAGATAACCCCCGCATGGATCTGTGTAACAAGCTAAGACGAAATATTCGAAGAGGTATTACTCAGCTGCCACACGTCCCAAACAGCACTAGTCAACTATTCTCCATCCCTTTTGGAACCTTAGTGCCCATCCTCCATAGTTTTCCTACTTCTGCATAGAAGGAATACAATGGCTATATAGGAGAAAGAATCCCGTAGTCTTCATTTGGTCCTCATGAGAGGGGAGTAAGAGGTAAACAGGGCCAACTCTCTCCATATCCTCTCTAGTAAAAATGGATTTAAATTAGTATTTTTTTAAAAAAGATGTTCTTTGAATGATGTAATTTGAAGGGGCTGTGAACCTTGTCACAGTCTTACTTTTTGGTGGCTTCTCATTTCTTTCCATCTTGTAACATCAGGTACTATTCTAGGTTCTACACTCTTAAGACTACCCCTTCTTTTTTTTTTGGCAGTTGGGGTTAAGTGACTTGCCCAGGGTCACACAGCTAGTAAGTGTCAAGTGTTTGGTCTGAGGCCGGATTTGAGCTCAGGTCCTCCTGACTTCAGGGCCAGTGCTCTATTTACTTCGCCACCTAGCTGCCCCAAGGCTAGCCCTTCTTAAGAAGGTTTGAATTTGCTTTGGGGGAGAGTCTAAAGCCCTATGGCATAATTCCATATAAAACTAGAGATGCAAGGGGAAAATCTTAAATTTTGCCTTTATTTTTCTCCCGTCAGTAAAACATCCTTTGTTGTTTGTTTTTGTGAAAAGACTAACTATATGATGTTGGGAAAGTCTCTCTGGGCCTCTTTTTTCTCATCTGAAGAATGAGGCAATTGATTAGATGATCTTTCCAGTACTTTCTAACTCTAAATATCTGTGTTTATAGACTATCACAAACTACATTTTTCTGTATAATAGATAAATGATGGAAATTGGATAAGAAGTTAAATGAAGTATCCAGATTGGAAGCAGTTGCATTCTAATAAAAGCTCATCCCTCTCTCTGCCCCCATCACTCCAACCCTTAAGTCCTACACTTTTTAGTTCAAATCCTTGAAATAAACTCCCTAGTGAGGTGCTTAATGGAGTTTTAACTAAAGCAGTTGTCATTGTCAAAAGTAACATATTGTTTAACATAAAATCCTTTACAATGACAAGTTAGCAACTCAGGAGGAGGAGTGAGGGAGGTTAATTAATAACCTATTAACAAACAACAGGCCTGAGCTATGTGATGATGAACTCTTCTGGAGATGAGGGGCTGGAACACAACTTGACAAATGTCTGCAGGAACCCATCATCATCAGGGCTTAAGGAAATTTGCTGGTGGGAGGGGGAGACTGAAGCAAGCCTATGGCTTATCTTAAAATTCCCCTTTAGAGTGGGATGACCTGACAGAATGGAAAGTTCTTTCCAGCTCTTAAACTTATTATGGTCAAGAGGAGGGGTGAGATCAAGACAGTGAACCAGCTGCTCATACTTTCTGATTTGGGGATGTTTGGAGAATGCCAGACATCATCAGTCTTCACCCCAGAGCTTACCAGCATCTTAGCTTAGGATGCTAAGTTCCAGGATTCTACCCCCAGGTCCCACCTCCTGCAGCAGACATTCTCTTTGACCAGTGAACAATGATGATTTTAAAGTGGCTGTCTTGGTTTTCAATGAAAATAGTATAGTTCTTGGTCAATAATATCAAGAACCTCACACTGCTATTCCAAGCAAAACTCCCACTCCCTTCACCGTCTGGATTTTTCTAGGTAGAAGTATTGGGTTATTTCTGTTTCCCACCCAATCTTTCCTCCTCTTCATTATACCTCCACTCCCAGGGGCTAATTTGATCATAGCACTGCAATCAACTCATTTTTTTTGAAAGAAAAACAAAAAAAATAAAATTATCACAATTTAGCCACTGTATTCTTCCTATGTGTTCCTTGTTCTAAAGTAGTCATTTAAATAGTCTAGTATTAGTTATCCCTTACCCTGCCTCATTCTGCTGAATTGCCTATGAAAACCATTTTTTTTCTTTAGAACTATCCAGTTTTGTAGTATGTATCATGGAACTGTCTCATGATGATTAGCCCAAGCTCTCCAGTGATAGATCATTAAGGCTTCTGGGCTCTGGTGATGAATCAGAGGAAATTAAGGCTCCTTGGATTAGAAGGAGCAGAAGCCAGTTCTAGGCTAGGCCTCAGGTGTGGAACAAGACTGGAACAGCTGGTGGGCCACTTTGCTCCAACCTTCCCAAGTGTTACAGGAACCAGGTTAAAATACACCTGGCAAATATTGAACAAAATAAATAAAAATACAATAGAACAAAGATGATGTTCACATGTGGCTTCCTAAGTCAACACTCCTCCCCCAGGAATACTTAAGTATGGTTTAGTGCTCTTCTCTCTGCTCTCCTCCCCACCCCTCCTTCCCATTTCTGATTCAGTTTGATACTGTTGGTGAAGACTAAAAGAGATCAGGCTAGGTGAAACTGATCTGGGTAAATTTTTAGATAGGAATACCTTTGAAGGATGCCTTGGTCATTTAAGTGCAAAGGCTAAAAGAAGGCAAGATTAGTGTGAAGGGCATTTAATAGGTCTTTACGATGCTGATTCCTTATAGTCTGGGATCAAGGAATGGTGAGAGAATGAAGAATGTTGTAGAAACCTGGAGGTTTTCCATTGATTTGTGAAAGAGAGGGCTACTGACATTATTATTTTTTTTTGCATGCTAAATTGAATGCATGTTTTGTAAGTGCTAAGTTTTGAGATGGCTCATTTTTTAGAATTGGTGACTGATAGAAGCCTAACATAATAACTCATATAGGGCCTAACGTAAATTAAGTGGATTTAATTACAGTTCTTTGTTTATCGAATTCAGATATGCAGAAGTTCTAAGGTTTGGAGAAAATGGGAGTTCTGCTATAAAGATAAGCAAAAGGGTTTTTTGGTTTTGTTTTTTTGAGATAGGTTATAGCCTACATCTTTTAGTTACCATCCACTTCCCAAGTACATGGGATTAGGCAGTTCTGATCTAATTGAGGTGGTTACTCCTTCCAGTGAATCAGGTAGCGACCTATCCATGCCTTCTCATTTGTATCATTTCTATCTATGTCTGCTTGTAAATTATCTATAATTTAGGTTGTGGATAATATTGCCTGCCAATACTCTAGGGACCTTCCTTTAGAATTCTTAACAGTGTGTGAGAACCACTACAGCCCAGAAAATCAGTCCCTCAAGGCTTTCAGTGTTGTGTTGCCTCCAGCACAGATCTCTTCCCTGTGGCAGAGTGGATAGAGCATTAGACCTGGAGACAGGAAGACCTAAGTTTAAATCCAGAATCAGACACTTACTAGCTATGTGATCTTGAACAAGTCTATTAACTTCCATCTGCCTTGGTTTCTTCATCTGAAAAATAGGGATAATAGTAGCACCTACCCTTCAGGGTTGACATGAAGATAAAACGAGGTTATTTGTAAATCACTTTGCAGCCTTTAAAGTGATATATAAATGCTAGCTTACAGGAGTAGTAGTACTAGTCGTAGTTGTGGTAGTGGTAGTGGTAGTAGTAGTAGTTGCAATAATCTGTTGCTCTGACTTAATTTCCTTGAATGCCATTTTTGCCTTCCAGATTTTGAAAATAGGTGGTTGTAAAAATGCTGGTAGATTGATTTCAAGTTTCATCTAATGTTTATTCTTTTAATTTAATCTTTTAACATACTTGTGATGAGATGTAATTCATATCTCATGCCAAGCCTTATCCAGAACTGTTTTCTCCTTCATTGTTCTTCGCTGTTTTATGAGGCATCATTGCTTACAATTTTCTTTCTTCCTTCTTAGTAGTGTTTTGCAAATGAGCGCATTTAGGGTTAGTCTAAACAAAAAATTGTTGCACTGGCTGCTGTGTCATCCCATAGGCAGGGAAACAAAGTGTTTATTGACAGGTGCTTTCTGGTTTCTTTTAGGCTTCCAATGGTGATTACTTTAAATTAACTTAAATTGTATAGAAAATTTTGGTAATAAGTGGTGAATGTCTTTCCAATGTCAATTTTCCATTTTTTTCTATATCAGTGGCTCATTTGAATAGGTTAGGTTAGAGCTGTTATGATAACCTGTAGTATCTTGTTTTCATTTTTATCCTTTCCTCCAATTTGGTGTAGATTTTGATCTTTGCTTTTACTTTGTCTAGCAGAACACAGATTCAGAAATGACTGTCATTTCAGGTATTTCCTGTCTTAAAATGCAGCCAATTTCAGTTTTTGCAATGTCATTCAGTGCTCACCATGTCCAGTGTCTTCCAAGGCTCCTCTGGAAGAAAGTATTTATTATGTCCAGATAGGAGGTTTCTGGGTAGACTATATGCCTTCAGTCTCTTCATCTTCCATCGTATTTTGTTGTCTTTCCAAGATGAATGAAATCTTTATTTTCTAAAAATATATTAAAAAAATGAAAGCTATTACTATCAGCCTTCTCAGTATATAGAATCAGGCACATTTAAAGGCAAGGGAAAGAAATGGCTGGGTAGGGGGAGTGTGTGCAGAGAGGGTAGTAGTATTTGACAGGAACAATCAAAGAAAGATGAGAACTTTTGTAACCCATTGCATCTTGCCAAAGTATTCCAATCCCAATCTAAGAAGTACATTGTGGCTTTTTTTTTTTAGAATTTCAGAGTTATTTAGGGCAAGAAAGCCATGTTGCATTTTTTTGTATGCCCCATTTAAATCTGGAGCCAAGGACACTTCTAATTCTATTCTCCAAAACTAGACTTTTGTAGAACCTTTGCAATAGCTACTAAGAAGTTCTCTCTCTGAATCGTCCTTCTGGTTTGCACAATGCCCTCCTGTGCTCACATCATGCTAGCACTAAATATGACTGATGAATTATTCTTCAACAAGAGTGTATATATTTCCTGTTTTTCCTTTGAAGAAGCACGAGAAACACTTGACTTGCATACTGCCTGCTTCACCATTTAAGGATGTACTGTGGCCAAAGATTTCCTATACTGCCATGTGAATGAATGAAAAAACACTTAGCAATTACTTACTATGTGCCAGGTACTGTACTAAATTCTATAAAAATGAATACAAATAAACAAAATAGTCCCTTCCCTCAAGATACTTACATTCTTAAAAATTTTTTTTTTTTGCTAAGCAATGGGGTTAAGTGAATTGCCTAGGGTCACAGAGCTAGTGTCAAGTGTCTGAGGCCAGATTTGAACTCAGGTTTTCCTGACTCCAGAGTCATGCTCTATCCACTGTACCACCTAGGTGTCCCAAGATACTTACATTCTTAAAGAAGATAACATATAAGAAGGAGCATGAGACTGGATAAGATGAAATGAAAGCTCACCCATTAGAGCAAAAGGTCCCCAGGGTAGGTAGTTCTAGTGGGAGCAGGCAGAGCACAGGTAGCATGACTTAAAAAGCCCAGTGTCTGGGGAAGATAAGGTGATAGCTTCTGGCCTTCAGTTTTTTCCTGACAAAACTATCTTAGTGCACTGCTATTTGACAAATGCTAGCTAAAGTAGCCTTTGTCCAATTTTCCCACTAAAAGCATGTCATCCTCACAAATACTTTCAGTCCTGGCATCTAGAAGTGAATGGAAGCATTCTTTGAAATAAGAAACCTTCCCTAAAATAGAGATTAAAACAGTTTTGAAAATACTTTTCAATATTCCATCAGGCAACATTAATTTGATTCATACCTCCCTTTGCCAAATTTGTATGAGCCACACCGTGTCAACCAATGCTACCCTGCTTAGTCACTCCTGCCTTATTCTTTTGCACCTCAGTACTCTTAAATACCATTATGATCTGTGTCTACTTTAAACGCCAATGGAGCAGTTCCCTCAATAACCAAACAAAAATGAATAAAAAGAAGCAAAGGATATTACATTTCTTCAAGGCTTATTGCCTGGTTTTCATTTAGGCCCCCTCCGCTCTATCCCTGATTGCTCCCTTTTTATATAGGTTGAATTGTTAATCTCTTCTAATGTTTGTTAGAATATGTCTTCTTCACAGACTAAAGGAGAATACTCCTAACGTTTTGCACGTTTGTCCCCTATTCTGTAGAATCTCAGCTAAATGACTGATAGCAGAGCACCTAAGAAAGCTGTTTGTTTACCTACCCCTTCCTTGTGATACACATTCCACCCCCTCCAGAAATCCTCCAGAAATGAGTATTTTGGGACAAGGACCACAGGGAGAGCCTGTGTGAAGAAGTCTTGGATTCTTTCCAATGTTGGTGGAGGTAGCGCATGCTTCTCTTGGCAGAGCTACTTTTACATGGAACTTGATCCAAGTAGACAAGCCTCATGGATGTGCCCTTTTCTTACTCTTTCAGGGATGAAAACTCCTTTCTGTTGTGTTCTTATGGTGGTTTTCCTTTCCTTTTAGACTCTATTTCAATTCAGTCCAGCTCTGACTCATTAGAAAGTTTTTGTTTTGATGTAATTGCTGACTAATGATTTTTTCTCTCTTCCCTTCAAGTAAATGAATGGTATGAATCAAATTAAGACCATAGATTTGATATTTTCTGCACTCTTTTCATAGCAGATGCCTTGCATTACAGAGTTTTGAAGGCACTATTTAGAAAACAATAAATCTGACAGCTAAGCATTTATTTTGGGGTTATTCCCTGGCTGCATCTTGCATATTTGTCAGCTTTATTGTAATTATGTCATTCAAATTAGGGAGTGTAAAAATTTCTCCTCCCAGCCCTTTTGTGTCTAACAAGAGGGAAAATGTGGCTTTATTTCCTGAAACTAGCAGTGTGGAAATGGTTTACATGGAGTTATGGAGGCTCATGGAAAGCTTGTTGAGTGTGAATCTTATGATCAGAATGTCTGGGCTGTCCATGTCCTTTGACAGAGGGTTAGGTTGATTTGAATGGTTTTGCTGACATGTATGCTAGGAGATGGACTCTAAGCTTTTACTAGTAAGAGCCTTGGGAACCTGAGTCCAAAAAAAAAAAAAGAAGAGAAAAGAAACCAAGTGATTTGAAATCGCTTAAGTTTTTTGTCACTCAGGAAAAAGAACTTGTAACTTGGAATGAAATGAATGAAGTCTGCATTTTGCCTGATTAAGCTGGTGGTCTAAGTGTGGAAAGCATACTGGACCATTAAAACTATACCCTTCAGGGTGGTCTATCATCTTTTCCTTACTGTGTTAACTGTTTTAAGAAAGACTAAACTATCCCAGATTCTTCCATGAGCCTTGTTCAGACTTCAGTCAGTGCTCCCTAGTGACCTATGACCCCAAGCCATAGAGTAATAGGCCCAAGGTTCTTAATGTGTAGTCTGTGAACTTTAAAAAAAATTTATAATTGCATTTTAATATAATTGGTTTCTTGGAAAATTCTATCTAAAAGTCTTATTCTGAGAAGGGGGCAATACATTTTGCCACAGGGGTCCATGACATAAAAAAGGTGAAGAACCTTTGATCTAGAGTCCTAGCACTTCTTAAACTGTGGGTCATGACCCTATATGGAGTCATGAAAAATTTGGCAGCGATGAAGGGCTTCTGAATGCACAAAGACCAAAAATTATTTAAAAATCAAAGATGTCATGAACCCAAAGTGTTTCTGGCAACACTTGCCAGTATTGTATTGTGCAACTTCACTGCAGCCTTGGTTCTGAACACAGAGCATGCACGCTTTGCACTGTGCATACTGTCACACAAGACAGTGCCAATGAAAACTGCCAAAATGCAAAAAGGGGTCGTGAATGGAAAAAGTTTAAGAAGCCCTGATACAGACCGTGGTGGGATTGAAAGTTCAGCTCTCATATAAAGATAGAAAGCATCTTATCTTTGAGGCTAACCATGCTTCTGTTCTGGAGTGTTTTTTCGTCTTCCCACCTCCTCCACCCCCTTGCTGATAATTTATATTTTTGAAAAGGGTTAGTGTATTGGAAAGTGCTGGGGGTGGCAGAATTCCAAGAGGGAGAGGTTCATGGACCTTTATGTTCATGGCTTAAATGGTTCTCACAAACTCAGGCTGGCTTCCTGGTCTAAAGGGATCAAGGGCTATCCTGAGTCCCTGAGACCTGAGGCACCTCATCATCTAGCAGTCTAATTTATCTATATATTACTATAATTCATTGACGTGATTTTATCCCATTTTCCTGAATAATTAAGAGCTGGCTATTCATGATACCTTGAAACCATAACCATATAGTGAGATAGAATGATCTAAAAGCAAATGAGTGCCCGTAGTTCTGAATCTGCACCTTATATCTGAGTAATAAAAGTTGATTAGCTTTTTTTGTTTTGTTTTGTTTTGTTTTTAGGCAGTTGGGGTTAAGTGACTTGCCCAGGGTCACACAGCTAGTAAGTGTCAAGTGTTTGGTCTGAGTCCGGATTTGAACTCAGGTCCTCCTGAATCCAGGGCCGGTGCTGTACCCACTGTGCCACCTAACTGCCCCCAAAAGTTGATTAGCTTTAGTGGCATTTATTTTCTCCAAAAAAAATAAAAGTCACTTCAAGGAGAAGTGACTTGACTTAGGTCAAATCACTGTGAAAATGTAGATTAATTAATATGTGGTGGTAATGTAGTATAATGAGCTTTTTCTAACATGACGCATGCTGTTGTCAGGAAAAGCCTGGAAACATTGCCTGCCTATTAAAATTTATGCTGTTTTAAAGCAGCAGTTCTTGAAACTGTGTCTGGGGATCGAACAATGTCTGAAAGTACTCCAGCTGTGGACATCGCTGAACTTTCACCGTGCCGATCACCTTCGACTCCTCGACATTTACGGTATCGTCCACCTGGAGGTAAGACCCTGGTAACAGTCACAGAAATGTAAAAATGCAGAGTTCCAAATATTTTCTGCATCCTCAAATCCCTGCACCAACAATTAAAACACCAACCAACAAACACCTAACTTGGATGTAAAAATTTACTAGACATAAATAACTTTATTCTAGGTAATAAGCAAATAAATGACTAAAGAATTCATTATCACTATTCACCAGCATTTTTTTGGGGGAAGATAATGTTACACAATACTTTACATAAATCAAGATTATTAAATTGTCTTATACTTACTCTAATAGGTATAAAGGGCAGCTAGGTGGCACGGTAGATAGAGTGCTAGGCCTAGAGTCAGGAAGTTTTCCTGAGTTCAAATCTGGCCTCAGAGTTTAACTTATTAGCTGTATGACCTTGGGCAAGTCACTTCACCCTGTTTGCCTTTGTTCCTTATCTGTAAAAAGATCAGGAGAAGGAAATGGCAAATCACTCCAGTATCTTTGCCAAGAAAACCCCAATTGGGGTCACAAAGAGTCTGACACAACTGAAACAACTGAATAATAGGCATAAAATGATTGTTAAAACAAGAGAGTAGTGTGCAAACCATTGTACTCCAGAATCTGATGAGTTTATATGAACCACTAGAGGCGACATGTTTTGGGGGTTTACGGGGAGAGATTAGGCACCTAGGACCTCATTATAATATGATACATGCCAGGATGGGCCAGCTGGGTGGTACAGTTGATAGAACAATGGGCCTGAAGTTAGAAAGACTTGGGTTCAAATCTAGCCTCACACACTTCCTAGCTATGTGATCCTGGGTGAGTCACTTAACCCCTTTTGTCTCAGTTTCTTCAACTGTAAAATGGGGCTAATAATAGCGCCTATCTCTGAGGGTTGTTGTGAGGATAAAGTGAGATAATAATTGTAAGGCATTTAGCATAGTCACTGACATGTAATAAGTGATATATAAATGTTGGCTACTTATATGTGATACATATTTATTTATACATAAAGTAGGTTCATCTTGTATCTCTAGCTCTGGAAGGACCCCACTATGCTCCTGTTCCATTCATAACATTCCAGTAGCATAGAATGTATTAGTAACAGCAGTGATCATCTGTACAGAACTGAAAATTTAGAGGTACTATTTAATTAAATAATCTGTGTATGGACATGGTGAAAAATGCTCTAATTGAAGTGAAATCATCAGAGGAAAAGGCAAAAATCCTTTCATTATTTTTCCTTTGCCTGAACACTTTAAAATATTAGTTGCTTTTGAATTATTTTTCTTAAGCCAATTATATAAAATAAGATGAGAAAATAATTCAACTGTAAAACCAGATTCACCCCAAGTAACCTCAAGAAAACACCAACACTTCTGTGACACACTTGTACTCACACTTCAAAGGTGGGGCCATTCTACAGCAGATGTTGGTGAGTGGAGTACATTTAGAAAAGTGGAGGATTTTCACCTTGTGACTTTTTGAGGCCACCCAAAAGCTCTCACTGAATACAAAGTGAAAAGGTAGAGGGATGCACGAGGGGCCAGTAGAAGACTACTGGGTTTGGAGTCAGAAGGCCTGGGCTTGATTCCTTGTTCTGCTCCTTAATATCTACGTGACCTGGTACAAGCCCCTTAGACACTCTTGGCTTTTGTTTTCTCTTCTGTGAAATGTGAGGGTTAAAGTAGATGACAACTAATGTTCCTTCCAACTCTAAATCTACAATCCCAGATCAGAGTGAAGCCAATGGGGCTGCATTAGTGGGCTGTTGCTTTGAGGGTGTGGGCCTCAGAATCATGGTCAGGTGTAGGTCAACTTGTGTGGGTATGGGTGACTGTGGTGGGTTTAGGTGTCAGACTGGCCCACTGTTGGAGGACGCTAAGACCTTCAGAGCCTTCAGATCCAGGAATAACTTGGCAAGGGACTGGTTTGAAGGCCCCTGGGTAATTTTTAATCCTAGCAGAACTCTTGACTTTATTCCTGCCAGGAAGTAGCCCTGATCCAAATTTCATGGTGTGCACCTGGGTTTTAAATGTACCATATTTGAGTGTATTCAGTTAAAGAAGTAGAACTAGTGTCCCACATTGCAGAGCAATCTTGTTTATAAGTGGTCTGAGATCAGTTTCAGGCATCGATTGTTGTTGCTGAGTTATTTTTCAGTCATATCTGAATTTTTATTGACAGAGATACTGGAGTGGTTTGCCATTTCCTTTTCCAGCTTATTTTACAGATGAGAAAACTGAGGCAAACAGGGTTAAGTTCCTTGCCCAGGGTCACATTGCTAGGAAGTATCTGCGGTCAGATTTGAACTCAGGAAGATGGGTCTTCCTGACTCTATACCTGGCAGTCTATCCACTGTGCCACCTAGCTGCCCTAGGTATCAGTATACTTGAAAATAGTAACCAGTGGCTTGCTTGCACTATATTTTCATTACACGACTATAACTAATAAGAAATATAGTACTTAAAAAACCCTTCATGTTTCCATAACTGGGGTTACTTGTGAAATGCTCTTTGCAAAGTCATTTTGAAAAAGGAAATATAGCAAAGTTTTACCACGTGATGTGTATATAACACTACAATCTGAAGACTGAAATGATATATGAGACAGCATGTGATTCATCTCCTTGCCTTCAAGAAGGATCACATTTAGTCTGTTTCTATTTTTAAAAATGCTTGGAGGAGGAGATCATAGAATATGAGCTTAATGGTTGTTTGTTGAATTGAATTGGTAATGATCCAAAATTATAGACTCTTATTAAAGTTGCCCTCTTGTCTATTTTCCCCACCATCTTGTAGCAGATGCTTTCTAAATAGGTGATTTTTTTATGGTAAGGCAGCTGCCATGCCAGAAAAATTACAGATATAATATATAATTGTACATATTTGAAACTAGATCGGCTGGAATGAAATTTTGGGGACATAGCTACTTCTTAGTCTCATGGCAAGATTTGTAGGTATTTTCAGTTGGGAGTGTAGTCCACCAGTTCTACAGAGACCTCTGGATTCAGATCCATAGGGAACCTACCAGTGGAAGTTAGACTATCTGGGATGTTGTCATTGTTTAGTGGTTACAGTTGTGTCTGACTCTTTGTGACCCCATTTGGGGTTTTCTTGGCAAAGCTGCTTGAGTGGTTTGCCATTTCCTTCTCCAGCTCATTTTGTAGATGAGGAACTGAGGCAAACAGGGTGAAGCGACTTGCCCAGGATCACACAGCTAGTAAGTGTCTGAGGCCATATTTGAACTCAGTAAGATGAATCTTCTAGTCTCCAGGCCTGGCAGTCACTGCGCCATCTAGCTGCCCCATCTGGGTATGCAGGTACATAAAGTAGTACAAAGTAGGAAGTTGCTATTAGCCTTCCCTTACATGCAGAAGAAACTTAATCTCTCTGTCTAGACTATAATATTTCTAACATTTTCTCTTGCTTCTCGGTCTTGCTCTGGACTTTTTAGCATTTTAAGTGGTAGGGAAACAAGGTGTTATCTATTTCCTCCATTCCCAAATCTATGTTTTGGAACCTTTGAGCATTACAGTTGAGGGGTGATAAAGGAGAAAATGAAAAGGAAATTGCAACAAATCTAGTCCATTCTGTAGCTTATCCTATAATTTTATTATACCTCATGCAGAAATGAAGTCCTATTCTCATGGGCTTAGGATGGGATTGTTAAGATTCCCCATGCCTCTAAGTTTTTCAAGTTAAAGGGCCCCTCTTGTCTTTCCTGATGGACATTATCTGTGTATCTGTTGCTCCTTGGGATTTTGAACGAAGAGCCTCATGATTCAGGTATGCAAAGGTTAAGGCTGAATAATAGCCTTCCTCCAACTTCCAAACATATGTACAGAAATTTTAATTCTTCCTAGGCAGTCTGCAACTTAAAAGCATACTATCTAGGCACAGTAAACTGGTTAGAATTTACTCCATGCTTTTGTTCAGTACCTTGTATAGCCTATGAATTGGAATAGCAGACAAGTGGCAGGGGACAGGGCTAAAAAAGCCCCCCATTACATATAGGCAGTCATCCAGCGTGTACTTTGCCAGAATATAGACAGCCTATCTCACCATGACTTTCTCTTTCTTTTTAAAATCACAGGACAGACAGCTGATAATACCCACTGCTCTGTTTCCCCTGCCTCTGCTTTCGCTATAGCTACAGCTGCTGCGGGACATGGGAGTCCACCAGGTGAGTGCCCAGCATAGAGTGGTGTTGGGAAGTTAAAGGGAAGAGATTCCTCCTCTCAGGTTCAGATTGTTCTTGGCTTATTCCTTTAGTGTCAGCAGCTGAACTCCTTCCTGAGAATGTGCCTATCCATTTTAATTGAGTGAAGCATAGAAGGCAGATGCCAGGTGGATGCGAAGAAGGTGGGATATATGTGTGAGGGGGAGGAGGAGGGTACCTTTGGCTCTAGCTGAATCATAGTCCCTTTGTAGAGCTTTCATTTAAATTTCAGAGTGAGGAAGAAGAGCTTAGAAAAATATAAAATGTAAAATAAAGTTGAATTTTAAAATAGACTGTAGGGAAAATATGATCATTACAATTTGGAGGATGAAATGGTTAACATTCTATTTGACATCTGTCCACCAGCACAGGGAAAGTTATATTGAAGGAGGGGAAAAGTACCTATAGCCAGTTTTGGACCAAGAAACCTTTTTCATATATTGACCTTAACAACCCTCCGAAGTTCAAATCACAATGGTGGAAATTTAGATATTGGCTTATGTCATTTTTAAAAATAGACAATGTTCAATTAGAATAAAGAGGTCCATTTCACAAGTCTGAGTTTCTATACATGCCACCCATTAGGAACTAATTGGTATTACCTGTGTAAATTCCCTAACAATTGAACCAGAATAGAGATTCTCCTGATGAATCTGGGCTACAGTAGTGGTTATGTAAATTTTCTTGGAATTGAAGAGACTAGAGGTTGACTGAATTCATTTTCATGATCATTTGACTACATGTATTTCATTTGGAAAACTAGAACAAAGATTTCTTTTTTTTTAAATGAACTCTATGTTTCTCAAACTCCTTTCTCTAAGCAACCAAAATAACACAGCCTGTAGTAATACTGATACGCTATGAGGCAGATTAACTTGTCATAGTGTATATTATTTTATTTTTCCTTCCATTCTACCATACAATAAAAAGAAAGACTTTGTTAAATGATAACAGAACAGCTCTTTCTTTGTTATATCATAGAATAGGTATCTAGACATTTTGAATAGCTGAGGATTTCTTTTTGCCTTCCATCCTCATAAGCCATCTTGCCATAAAAAACAAATCAAGCCTGAGAACTTCCTAGTTCATTCTCTGAGTATCAAGAACGTTGAGGAGCTGTTAATTTTTGGTTTAATTCAGGTGAAAGTGATTTCTTCGTTTTCTAGGTGGTATATAAGAAGTTTTTCCCTTAAGATTCTGGAACATAAAGGATTAAACTTTGAGACTTGTGATAGGAAACTGACTTAAAATTTTCCCAAGTTGAATGGGCATATTGGGCCCCCAAGATAATACCACTTTGTGTTTTGGAGACCAGAGTAAAAGTAACTCCACCTTGACCTCTTCACTGCTCCCCTCCTTCCCACCTTAATAGAGACCTTTCTTTGCTTTTGCTTTCCCCACTCCAAAATGCCATCCTCTCTTCAAATCACATGGATTCTTGAGTATCTATTTATTAGGCCGTATTACCATTCCTATATGAATGGCTGTGTTGTTCGGAAGCTAAGATTAAAGTGTCTGGGATCCAGGTAGAATAATCATTGAAAGAAAAGCAAGGAGTGGTGGGGAGACAAAATAAATAAATAAAAAGAAAGGAAAATATTAACTGGTCAGTTTAATTCATTGCATGTTAGAAGTTAGGGAAAAGAAGACTTCTACCATATGTAGCCCAGTAGAGAGCCCTGGGGTACAGGAACCTAGGCAGTTAGGGTCTGGAAAGGCCACTTTGCTTGAGCCCTCTGGGATAAAGAGAGAAGAGAAATCACAGCTCCAGAAGAGGAGCAGTGAAGCCAGTCATGCTGGGCTGACAGCCTTGGTCCCACACTCCAATAGAATTGATTTCATTTGTCTTTTTTTTGCAACCAACATACAAACATTAAAATACCCATACCATCTTCATTCTCATAATTTTAACTGCTTCATAAACATTTAGATTACCAACTTTCACCTGAGTTAATCCAAAGCTTGATTGAATTAGGGATCACTGAGTTATTAAAGGCATTATTATCATTTATCTAAGAATGAAAATGGAGTTACTGAGTTCTGCAGAGTATGGCCCAGCAGAAAGCTCTTAAGAGCCACAAAACATAATCTGTTCAGATATTCTAGTGTTAACTCTTCTTCATTTTCCACTATCTAATCATTTTAGTTCACATTTTAAAAAAATACCTCAACAATCCTGAATTCAAATCCCAGCTTTATCATTGATTAGCAATGCGATCTCTGGAAAATCATTTCAACTCTGAGCCTCAATTTCTTCATCTATATATTAACACTTGTACTACCTACCTCAATAGCGTTGTTATGAGTCTCAAGTGAAATAATGCATACTGGGGGCAGCTAGGTGGCGCAGTGAATAGAGCACTGGCCCTGGAGTCAGGAGGACCTGAGTTCAAATCCAACCTCAGACACATAACACATAAGAACAACTGTGTGACCCTGGGCAAATCACTTAACCCCATTGCCTAGCCAAAAAAAAAAAGAAAAAGAAATAATGCATAACTGTTAATTTTATAATCTGTCTTAGCTGTTATTATTTATTTTCTACCAGATCATAAACCCTCAAAGATCAGGGATGTTGTCATATTAAAGCTTCTATCTTCTCTAGCATGGAATCAAAGTAATGAACATATAATAAATGCTTAGTAAAAGTTTGCTGGATTGATCTGAATTGAATTAAATTGAATATATGTTAGGAAAATGAGAGGAAAAAGTATAGTTGCTTAGAGAGAACATAGATGGAGGCTTTCTATTGGCTTTTTATCCAGTAATATCAGATCACATAAACTTATAATTTTTTTTTCTCAAACAAATAGCCACCAGTAGGTTTTGGGACTGAGCAGGGTTTAGAGACAGAGCATTGGGTGCATAACTATGTGTATTTTGCTAAATCCATCTCTACTGAGACAGGAAAACACTGGATCAAAAAATGGTTGATCAGCTACTTTGGCCTTATTTTACAGATAGACAGATGGGCATAGGACTCAACTAATACAGAATGTGGTTATTAAACCAGTTGGGAAAAAAATGGATTCAATACCAGACAATTAGTTATCTCGGTAACCAAAAATAGATGTAGCCTGGATTTGTTATGTATAATAGGACATAGTGGAAAGAGCATTGATCTTGGAGTCAGAAGAGCTTGGTTTGAATACTAGTGATAGGTTGCCGAAAAGAAAACTACCTCCCAGTCCTCAGGACTTTCCCTAGAATCCTAAGATGCGATATTAACCCCTCTCCGGGGCACCCAAATTGTGAGTACAAGTGGGAGTTGGAGCATGTCCTCCATATGTAAGTAAGATCATTGAAATAGTCTAAAAGTGAACAGAAGAGAACAGATGAAAGGACAGAAAGAAATACAGATGAAGTAGGATTGCTTAAAGTTATATACTTTAAGGGAAAAGCAAGCTTGTACTTTAAAAGAGATCAACAGTTTCATGTACAATCCTCTCTCCATTCTGCTTTGTATATAGGAAGAGTTATTTTGTTTTTTCTTAATTTTAAAGATTGAAATCAAAATTTTAAAAATAATTTAAATCTGAAAATGAATCAACTTATCTACCACTTTCTTTTTATACATGAATGACCTGAGGCCCTCAGAGTCCTTCTTCTATATGACAATGCATCTCATCTAATGTGTGTGTGTATGTGAGTACAGTGCATGTGTAGTACTGTATACTCTAGTACTATCTCAGCTCCCACTTGTACGGATCATTTGGGTCCCCAGAGAGGTGCTGCTGTTTCTTATGGGAAGCCCTGAGGGTTGGAGGGAGGGGATGGCTTTCTAGTACTATAATTCATAAGTCCCCAACAATGTACTTCCTCCCCCCCACCATGATTATCAGTTGATATCAGTCATTCAAGCTGAATTAACTTTTATAAAGGAGTATTTATTAAGGTGATATAGTAAGAATAGTTGGTACTAAACATTTCCCTGAAAGTCTGTTTTATATTCATTCACCCAGTGATACATAAACAATCCAGGAAAAGTGGGCTCAAGATGAGATAGAACATATGGTAAAGCCTCAGTGGTATGCTAGTAAATACTTAAAAATCAGCTCTCTGAAAAAAAAATGTATACGTGATGCACTTTTAAGTTTAATTTGCATTATTAACATTTTCTTTATCACTTTGTTAAGTCTAGACAAAACAAAAGAAAACAAACAAAAACCCCAGTAAATCAAACTGATTTGTACCATGTGCCAATTTCCAAGGTGTAAATGCTCACAAGCAGGTCTGGGCTGGCTCCAGCACACCCTTGCAAAGGGGTAACTCACAGCTCCTGTTCATTAGAAGTCCTTTTCTCCTCCTTGAGGAACGCTCATGAAGTTCCCTTTGGGCATGTTGTAGCTTTCTGCTAAGCTCCCTTTCCTCAGTATGTCTAGTTTGTACTTGCTGGATACAGGCATTGCTACACTGGAACAGTCATTGCTGTTCCAGAGAAACTGTGAGGTCACCAATTGAAGTCAAAACCCTCCAGCTCTTTGAAGTTCATGAGGTTCTTCTCTGGTCAAGGGCCAGGGAATAGGCTGAGTTGCTCTCCTCCTTCCCAACCCTTCCCCATAAGCTAGTATTCTCAGAGGCTTGGCTGGAAGCTTCACCACCAAACGGTCGAGTGCTTGGATTATGAACTGACTTGCTGTTTTATACAAAACCCACAGGGCATGGCCAGGTTTTCTTAGCCAGTCTGAAAATACTTTCTGTGCAATGGCGCTCTGTATCATCAGATGACTTTCAAGGACTTCTAACCTGATCATATCTAGTCTAAAGTCTTTGATTCATTCATTCACTCAATAGAAATGTCTAGGTCTTATTCACATCTAGTTCACAGCTCTGTTTGATTGATTCCATGGAGGTATTGTTGTTCACAGAAGTGTGAGGACATAGCATCTTGTCAGTTTCTTTAAATGGTATAGGCTGATTTGATTGATTGAGTCAGTGAATACCTCCACTCTTTTGCACATTCT